AATCACGGTCATAGTTTCGGTGGCTCACCCTGTCATAGGATCGGGAACGTTCCCTCCTGCGCTCGCGGTAGTAGTGGCTTTTCTTCTTGTATTTCCGAGCGTCTGGACTTTCACGCGATCGGCTGTAAGAAGGAGAGGAGCTTCTGCTACGAGATCTTCTCTTCTGTCCGCTGTATTTGTAGTCGGAACTCTTTCCATACACTTGTCCTTTAGAACTTTTGTGAGAGCCATAATTTTGTTTTCGTGGAGGGGAATCGCTACGACTTCGGGAATGACTACGGGATTTTGACCCGCTTGATGTAGAGTAACTTTCGCTTTTCCTAAAAAGGGTTTAAAGAAATGGCTTAAAACAGCTTCACCAATAAACACACCGCTTCTGTAATTCCTAAAACACCAGGAAATAAACGGTTAGCACAAGGATCATGAACTAGAACTACAGTCATGTTACACTAGATAAAGGAGGGGGAAGGAAAGGCAATACTGCTGGGGAGGAGGGTATGAACGCAAACATATTGCTATGCTGTACAGGAACACAGTACTTGGTTTTAAAAGATAAATCTGGGCACTTAAAGTGACATTAAACCTTGCTCAAAAAACTCCACATGCGTTTCAATTCCTTTTTTTTTTTTTTTTTTTAGAGAGCGTCGCCGCATCACCGTCTCCGCCACCCCTGCACGGGTGCCTATATCAGCAAAGCAGCTGCTGTGGAGGCACCCGTGTGTGCGTTCCTGGCCGTGCGTGCAGTAGCCATGTGCATCCATAGGCAGACCTGCGGCAGGCCACGCTCATAGCGCCTGTGTCCTCAATCTCCTCCCCCGCAACCAGGACGTCCGGAGCATTGTTTTGGGGACCAGCAGCACAAGTGTACACACAAATTTTATTAAAACTGGAGCAGGCAGAATCTGGAGCGGATTTGCACTGCAGCCAATCAGCTTCTCTTTTTCATTCTCAAATCTTACCTGAACAAACTGAAGAAGCAGATTGGTTGCCATGCACAGCTGCTCCAGATTTTGATGAATTCCCCTTACTGCCTTTACCACCACTTTAAAGAACTCTGGGGAAAATGTATTAACCCTTGCAGTGGGGCTACCCCTGCACATCAAGGGTTGGCAGGTCGTTTTGTCTAGGTGCTAAAAAGTTACCCACCCGAACCCCCGAGCCAGTCTGCTTCTCCGGCCACTGAAACGCGTCACCTCCACTGCACAAATGGAATGTTCCTCAGCGCCCTCACGTCTATACACTGGTATAGAATGCTATGACACGAGGATTCTTAGACCACTGCAGATGGAGAGGCTCGAATGATTGGCTGAGTATAACTTTTTTTAGCTCTTCGACACAAATGAGTAGTTAATCCTTGCAGTGCAGGAGTAGGCCGACCGCAAGGGTTAATACATTTTCCCCAGCATTCTTCTTTAAGGTAAACTCCAATGATTTTCACATGACGCCTTACTACTGTGACTCACATTTTTTGCATAGGTTACAGTTTTTCCCAAGGCAGCATTTAGAATTGTACCCACCCATCAAGGTAAAGCGAGTGTCTTCAGATACAGCACACTACCCAGCAAGGTATATTCACCTTTCCACACTCCCATCCAAGGTAAGCACTAGTGTCAGAGCTTACCCAGCATTACCCCCCCACCATGTAACAAAGTCCATGCCTGGCAATAAGCTCAGTTTTTCTTCCTTTGCCGGGCCAGTGGGCTATTAGAAGAAACAGTCAATTGCCCTGAAGAGATGAGCGCCTTTAAACTAGCAAACGTGAACAAAAAACCCTTCATCTTTAATACTGATGTGCTGGGAAGAATGTAACCTACAGCTTTGTAGACCAAATTTTTATATTTTAAAAACAGAGGCTCCACAACTCACCTCTTTTTTGGAGACCCAGATCGAGAGTGGGACCGGGAATAGCTCTTCTCTCTGCTTCCGCTTCTGCTGTGCCTTCCTTTAACAACGCTGGAAAACAAAAACAAAAAAAGGCACTTTTTAATCCAAGCTTTAGCAGGATCTGCCCTCCAAGTTAATCCTTGGCATCATCTAACAAGGCAAGCAGAGCATACAGACCGAGATGTCGTATAAAAGTTTTCCAACCGGAATCTTTATCCCCAATCATTTATAAGGGTAGTAAAGTGGACTAAAGTAAGCTAGCAGGCAGTTCTAAATGCATCTTACACATGGCTTCAGCTGTGGTCTATATGCCCAGAAACTCATGGCACCGACATCAACTCTAAATTAAAGAAGCCAATTTAGACTGATAATCCTGCATCTCACTGCTGGTCAGTGTGGACAACCATCAAATCAATGGGTGTTTGTATAACCGAATGCCTGATGATTTCAGTGCTTCCAGGGCACTCTGAAGATACCTCAAGCTGTAAGACCCTTTCACACCCGATGCCAACCTACATCACAGATTCAGGTCAACAGAAATGCATCCATCACAACTTAATACCCCGAGTAGGTCTATGGCAGCAGTCACACAGTTGAATAAGTGATTCTGGATAGCTATGCAGAATCACTTACTCAACTGTGTGACTGCTGCCATTCCTAGCCACAACCCCTTCCCCAACAATTTGGCCTTTAGGTATTCCTGCACTCCAAGAAGGACTGACTGGGTGGTTGTGGGCCAGAGTGGAATACACCAATGTCTAAAGCTTACCCATTAACCGGACTTGCCGATGAAGACTTTTTTGTTCCATCTACTTTCCTTTTGGCATTTTTCAGTGCATGCATGGTCATCGGTGAAGACTTGTTCATTTTCCCGTCCTTAGGAGACTCTGCAAGACAAAAACAGTTGTTAGCTTTGGAAAGAAAAAGGAGAAAGAAAAAAAAGGAAAGAATGAAAAGCACACATCAAGACTGGTTGGAACACTACATACCAGTTTTTATGTTTGGAGAGAATTCTGGACCATTGTCCAGCCTTGGAGTTCCATCAGGGAGCAATCCTTTTGCCTTGGCTTTTGCTTCCTCGAGCTGCAGCTTTCGTTTATCCACTTTGCTTTCCAAAACAGTCATGTCAGCCTAAAAATCAGAGAGTGAGAACAGAAGCAATTTTAGAAAGCAGCATTAGGAGTACTGACCGGGCCAAACATAGGCACAAGAATAAAAAGGCAAGGTACCTTTTTGCGGGTATAAAGCTTTAAAATCTGAACACAAATCTCCTGAATGTCTTCTTCAGTAGCACCAAACAGAAGGAACCAGTGCGGGCGATTTGGGAGACCAATCTAAAAGAGATTACAGTAAACTTTAGTTCACATATACACATTCTGATCATTGATTTTAAATGGAATGACCTAAATCAAGGCACAGGATGCCATACCCCTGAAAATGGTATATCATAAAATTTAGAAGAGTTGGGGTTTTTTAGGCAGCCGACTGACAACTTACAAACCAAACATTTGTTTAGAAAATATAATTTTATTTGATTAAAAAAATTCTGATCATAAAAGAAAAAGCAACACTGAACACACTAACCTCTAGTGTTCTTGCAGCCAGATAGATACAAGCGCAAGCAATAGTCTCCGGGTGGAATCTTACAAATACATCTGTGCGAAGGCTGTCATTCATATAGTTCCTGAAATGATAAAAATGGAAGAATCGCACACTTACAACTGCTCTAGAACTATACTTAAGTGTTACTAACAATCTACCGTTTGGGTGCCCAGTCTCAATTATGGGGAGCAGAGAGTTGAACTGTGAAGGATGGAGAGTCTATTATAACTGAAGTGTATTCATGCATACATAGCTGTGATCACAGTTACAGTACGGCCTTTAGAACTAGCAAGGCTGTTGATCAATGTCCATACTGAGGTCCAAATCCTATAGCTGAAACAGTCCATTGGCAAAATGCGGTCATATAAGGGTGTCAGTTATTATAGGATCCACTTGTGTGGAGGAACTGGAAGATGTCCATGTATAGTTCAGGTCTGCATTTTCCAGGGGAAAGCAATGATATGCTGCAAAACACTGTAAAAAAATTCTAAACCAGTTAGCAGTCAGAGGCTTAAAGCAGAATTACTTAGGCTATGGCCATTCAAATATTCTTATCAAGCAGCAAATAAGCTTTAAAATACATTTTTACTGACAATGTAGCTACAGCCATCTTGGAACAACTGATCCTTGAAGTTCAACTTAAGCCATGGCTCAGAACTCTGCTGTTCCTGCTTTGTGTTTGCATTAGACATTGAAGGCCTGCAGGCTGTCAAGTCATTGCTGTGAGGTGGTAGAGCAAAAGCCACTACTGAGAATAGAAGAGTACCTTTCCTCTGAGGATAAATAAATAATTCCACAGTACCTTCAACTACAAAAAGGTCAAAAGGGCTTATTTTAAAGCTCATTTATTGCCTGTTATTATATGTAGAAATTTTAAATGTCCATAGCTTGGCCACAGGCTCACTTTTTAAGGAAACATGTACCGAGAAGACTTGGGCTGACAGATGGGATCCGAGATGGTTTTTTTTTTTATTTGGGAGACGTATGCAGTGGCAGCCAAGGCATCTCACAGCACAGGTTTCCTTTAAAATAGGACCTAAAATGTACTAAAGCCACATATCAGAACATCATTTACTAGGAAGTGTAAATTGTCTATTCAAATATCTGATTTGACAAACACTACTAATAGTAAATTTTGCTGATCTGACATTTCAAATCTAAAACAATCTGTGTGGCCAGAATAAGACATGACATTTCACAGAACTTTATAAAAATATGGAATTCTGATGACATGATTAACACCAGTATGTATGGTAAATGTGCCCCCCCCCACATGCCTTTGTATCGTTCTCCACATGGGATTTGAAAGTGTATGGGATGCGGGCCAATTTTTTAGCCTTATGTGAAGCTGCAATAAAAAGGAAACTAAAGCAGTGTGCCCCAATTTGATTGGATGAAAAGTAGACCTAACCCAACACTGCTGCAGCTCAAATGCCAGCAAGGACTTGATCAATACCTGCAGAATCCCCTTTTAATTCTAAACTCAGAAGCTTTACATGCATCCTCGTTTTCTGTGCAAGGGAAGATTAAAGTGTAACTCCACTTTTGCAGTCTAATTTCAGATAGATCTATATTTTTTTTCCCTCTCCTTCTGGTCTGTCAGATGTTTCTTTAGTGAAGGCCTTTGAACAGATTGAAGGCTACTCTGAAAGTGGACAAACTGAGCTGCTTCTCATTAACATACAATGCTTTTAAGTTTTCTTAAGCTGGCCATACACTGTTTTATATTTTTTGTTTTTCCGTTCAACCCGCAGGCTGAATGAAAAAATAAAATAAGATTCCTCCATCGGCTATGAGCGTTGATCGAGGAATCTCACGATGTCTTCACTGTATTCTGACAGCGGCCGCTAGCCACAGTCAAGAGTACCCGAACACAGCTCATTCGCTGTTAGTTCAAAGATTTTCTGACCAGCTCCTTCAATCAGCTAATTGAGGGACGGTGGCCGAAAGGGTGCCAACAGTGGCACCCCGGTGTGAATTTTGGCCGGTTCATCAAGAATTGGATACAATTCCCAGTGTGGCCAGCTTAACCATTAAGTATAGACATTGTTCAGATAAAGTTTACAACTGATAATGAAATCTGCCAGCACAGTACAGACAGCGATCTAAAGTAAACATAACTTCCACAGCCCCCTCCTAAACATTACACAGGGAGAAAGCTAGGTAAAATATTTAAAGGAAAATGCACTTAAAAATGTAAGCTATACATTCCAAGTATTTTTCCAAGTCATGCTATAGGAATGTAACAAATATATACAGTTATCCCAATTTGGGTGCAAAAGTGGAAATATACTTTATGCTTTAACTCTCTATATGGTTCTTAAACTTCACCACTGTCATACACAAGAATGTAAAAGTAAAGGCTCTGGCATGCACAGTGTGGATGGAAGCACAAGAGGCAGGGGACCAATTTCTACTCAGGAAGATAAGGTCCCATGTACTGCCCAAGAACCATGAAGGCTTCTCAGGGATCAACGGGAAGATTAACAGGGCCTTGTGCTGTTGCTACTTTAAACATTTTATATATTTGTGGAGAAAAATATGAAGGCATGGAACATACAGTGGTCTTTAAGGTTCTTACAAACAAAATTAAATGAATTTAGCTTAAAAAAGGACATTGGTGACTTGAATCCCCCATAAAAGGTTTTTGTAGAAATCTGCAGGGGAAGCTGTCCCACCCTTGCCTCACCCACTGCATTATAAGATATATAAATATGTGGCCTTAGGAATCTTGCACAGCAATCTCACTGCCATGGGGATAGTTCAACCCACTAGCAATCTGACTTTTGTTAAAATGATCTGTCAATCCAAAATAGAGTAGCTACTTAACAGAAGTGTAAAATACAGTGAATTATAAATATCTTAATATTAAGGATATAACAGAACAAAGCAGTGTAAATTCCATTGTAAGAACAAGCATGAAAAGAAAGAAAACCACGTGGAGCGATGAGCCCCGTCAATCCGCTGTAGATATACCACCTGACCAGAGGCAGCCTTCTTTGTGGGGAACCTGCTTGGGACTGACTGAAGACGGCAGCTATCCGTGCACCAAAGCGCTTGGACAGCAGAGGAGAAGTCTTAGTCACTTACCCTCAGAGGCTAGCCTTTGATCAAAAGAGTACAGAAAACACAGTTAAAACAGGCTCTCCATCCATTTAGCACAAAAGTACCAGACAGTTCAATCAAATACTCCCCACCACCCTCCCCCTTACAACATTTTACCCAATTATCAACAATAATGGCATGGCACATGATCAATATTAAAAGACCATTAGAAATAGGACGTCTGACGATTCATGACATGCACAAAGATCATCATCAACACCCTCTTAAAAATACATTACGTATAAAGCTTTGAAGCAAAAGACGCACACATAGGCACCATGTGATACCTACTCAGAAGCCATTCATGACTTTAGAGACACTCTTCACCCTGCCCACTCAGGACTGTGCAAAGCCCACTTCATGACCATTATATTCAGTACTCCCCTGCTGACAGAGGGGGTGACATCACTTCTCCCCCTGAGCTTTGAAACAATTTTTAGGTGGCACCTGTAGCAGAGGAAAGGGCTCCCAGAGTAGTACAGCATTCTCACAGCTTTACAGACAGCGTCACTTTGTCCTGAATGGGGAAGGCAATTGTCTCCAAGCATTGGTAGTACCTTAAAGAGTTTTTAAAACAGCCCCCCCTCCCCAACAAAATATGATGTCCTCAGATATGGAGGCTGCATTCTTTTTGCCTAATGATCCTGCCAGAGTGACAAGACTCAATCCCTGTACTGAGTATATGGAGGAGCAGTGTTGCTCTAGCACAGGAAGTGTTAGGACTACAGAACTTCCCTTGCCCCCATCATTGCAAATTTACGAGGTTCCTGTTAGGCCGGAGGAAACACAATAAACCGGTCGTTGGGTGGCGACGCCCCTTTTATTTTAGTTGCAGGTGATGAGTTTTCTGTTTTAGGTGGGTGGATCCCATCTCTCTGATACTGCCCTGGACGACTTGGGAAAAAACAGCTAACAGATTTCCATTTAGCGCACAGAAGTCACAAGGACATGAATTTCTAGCAGGAACAACATGTGGTTTTCTGTATGTGTAGAAAATGTGCATTTGTACATTTAAAGTGAATAAAAAGAAAACTAATGCAGCCACCACATCCAAGGACTGGACATTATAAGTCTTGATGTACCTACATTTCCATGACAAATTCACTTTAAATCTAGTTCAGATCACTGGATATTTACACACAGTTGTCACTGGTCTATAGTTGTGGCTAAAATGGACAGTTAGAGCCTAATGTACAAGCATTTTCTTACAGGAGACTGAGCCAGGGCTAGAATGCATTCGTCCCAGAAGACACAGCTCCAGGTACCAGTAAGAAAACGCTGACACATCGGGGCTATAAATCAGTAATTCTGGGCGACAGTATTAAAAATCAGAACACTTTCGGGTATTTTACTTGCTATTCAAAAGCCATGAGATGAGTCTTGAATAGGCGCCAACACTGGCACACTTAATATCGCTCCCTGCTCTTCTCTCCAAACATGGCAAAGCTGAAGCGCTTCTCAATCAGATCTTCTAAGTCAACAGCTGCAATCAAGTGAACTGTTAATGCCTTTGGGGCCGCCAGGGTGTGCGAAGCAATGCCCTACGTTTCCCGCAAGCCATGAAGAGTGTTAACCGTATAGCCAATCTGTTTGATGGATACATGAGAACAAGTGACTCACCATGATGTCTGGACAAGATGCTTATTGCGCTCACACTCCAATACTTGAAGATACATCATAATAATCTGAAAAACAAAAAAAGAAGATTTCAGAAGATTAGAAGGGGGAACGTGGGAACATCAATTCACACAACATTCACAGAACAAACTCAGACTCACTTTGTGGGGGTGCTTCACATGGACACAAAAACCCAATTCCTTTAGGATCCGTCTCTCAGCTTTAATGATTTGGTTCTTCAAGTTCACATAGTCCTGATCCAACACCATTGGTGACGGTTTCCTACAGAAGAACACATTCAGTATTTCAGGCCTCAGTGTAGGAACCAGATGCAATAAATCAAACTCTAGCAAAAGGGCAGGATTAGAAGTGTTTTCTTTTTGGGATTCTTAAAAACAGTTCAGCATCGGTATAAGTGGCGATTGCTTGGCCCTGTCAAACACGCATAGGAGGTTTCTGAACCAACCATCCAGTATCTACAAGCAGTCAACGTTGCCTCTACCAAAGGAGGGACTATTGGTATTGCAAATGCTTGGCCATGGCTTACATTCAGCACATCCTCCCCTGTTAAAGTTGCACTATAGAGCTGCCTAGATACAGAACACTTTGTTTGGGAATCAACCTGGTTTTATACACCCGAAACCAAAAACGAACCCGAACGCTTTAGTAAATGCATTTATTTGTTTTTTCGGTGCAATCTAATGTGCTCTTATGTTATAGTTTTATACACACACCTCCTGATTATATGCAGAGCTTGCAAGAATGCATTTCTGGCAGATTAACAGGTATTTTCTGTACTTACAGGGTGTCTAAAAGGGATAGGAAGATATGTATTGCAGAGATATGCACCTATAGTTTAGCAATACTGCCCAACCTTGTTGGTTTAGACCCCATTCACGCTGAGCTACATCACTCAGCTTTCAGCTGAGCGACATTGCAGTTTGTCGCACTTTCTTTGGCAGTCTATCAAAGCCTATTGATAGACTGCTGTATAATAATGTATAATATAATCATAATCCTGTATAATAGTAATAAATAATATTGAGGCCAAATCGCACAGAATCAGCTGGAAAGATAGGTCATGTTCGAGCGACAAGCTACAGGCGACATTGAGTTGTGAGACGTGACCAGCTCCACTTCAATGCATTGGATGAGCTACATTGAGCGATTTGTCAGCGGAAAATGTGAATGGGGTCTTAAGGTGCATGCGTCAGTTGTGGAGTTACTCCAGTGACATTCCCCTAATCTATATTTAGCATTTTCTCTGTATTGAGTTCGATTTAAGGATATGCGAGACTGGCAATTGTAAAATGATACCAGTGCCAATCACCACACAGATCATTTAAAAAAAAAAACACACCTTTTAATAGCCTTAAAATGTGATTAAAACATAAGCTCAAAGGGTCCCACAACGTCAATCTAAGCACCATATAATGGCCAGTATTAAAAAAGTGTTAGTAAAACTTTGCTGAAAATTAGGTTTTAGAGCAACCCGATTGAGAACTTACTGCTTCTCTCTTAACTGTCGAAGTCTGTGAAATACATTAATCACATCCCTGATGCGCCTTGGTGCCTCCTCAATTTTGGATGCCAAGTGGAGACAGGCCATTGAAACATGCTAAAAATAAAATACAATTAAAGCATTTATGGTTTGCTTATAAAAAGGAAATGCAAAACAGAATGTAAACAACTGAAATACAATTGTTTATAATTATAAAGGCGTGGGATAAAGCAAAGAGGCTTCTTTCCCTTACCTCCATAGAATGCTTCACATAGGATTTACTGTAGAAGAAGCGCTGAAATAATACTTGTCCTGTAGCCATTGCCACCTGGTAAACATAAAAATTTAAAATCGTTTAGGCAAGATTTCAGTTATCCAGAAAAAAAAAAAAAAAAAAAAACACCTGAAATACATATTTATAAGGTAGTGAATGTGACATTGACCACGGTTTGAGTCAGGGGTCAGCACGCAAAACAAAGATCTGCATTGAAGTCAATGGAGGCTGTTCACACCTTTGCGTACAGATCAGCAGCACTAAAGTCAGCTTTCAAATGCAACTCAAAACTAGCATTTGTTAACATCCAACTTTTCAAGTAAACATTGCTTTTTCAGGGAGAAACTAATATATAGACTGCAGTTGACAGAAAACATTAACGCATCTCTGTGACATTATACAAGAGAGCAATGTGTACCATAAGCAGCAGTCACACGTCATCCGGGTTCCCAAGGCAATGAGGAAATCAAGGGGAGGGACGGTGAATCAGTTTTGGCAATGCGACGATCTGTATGTTCCTGTTGAACAGGGTTGTATCGGTTTCCCAGAAACAGAACAAAAGAGCAGCTGCTTGAGCGATTACATCATGTCCCGATGTTTCTACCTCCCTCTAGCAGCCGGCTCCAGCCACTTCCTGAATGGCGTCTTACGCAACTAGCAGTACGCATAGAGCTGTATTAATAACCACTCACATGGACAGACACGCATAGGCTTCCACACCTCACCTTTATAATTGGCTCATTTCTTCTTTAAGCAGCATATTCCTATACCCTTGAACGGGCGCCAAATACACCTCTACTATTTTTGGCAATGCACAAACCAGTCACAATAATGTGTTGTGGTGTGCCATCACACGTGTGTATCCAGCCAGAGCGGACAGTCACTTTACTGAGTAGTGAGCCAGCTCAATAAAAAGGAAATTCCCAAAACCTGGAGAACCACTTTTGTGCAGCCTCAGAGGTCAGTACCTGGTTCTTAGTGAACCACAAGATCACCGCTCCCAGCAATGCAGAATCAAATGCTTTGGACAGCTCAATTATATGCCAGCATTTGCCAAACATGGGGGGAATTTATCAAAAAAGTGGAGCAGACAGAATCTGGAGCAGCTGTGCATGGCAACCAATCAGCTTTGAAAATGAAAGAGAAGCTGATGGTTGCCATGCACAGCTGCTCCAGTTTTGATAAATTCCCCTCATGGTCTCCAAGCCTTCATTGACATAGTGTTTCCCCCCCACTGTTTGCCATGCGGAAGACAGCACGGCACGAAAAATCTAAAATGTTTACAACTGCACGGATCCTGCTAGTTGGCGGCTATTACTATAGCCGTGAACGTGCAAAATCTGCCCCTGAAAATCGCACTTGGACTATTTTGTTGGACACGCAGTTTGGTACCGAGCGGTCCCTGCAATAGTCTGAACAATGCACTGAGGGGAATTTATCAAAACTGGAGGAGACAAAATCTGGAGCAGTCGTACATGGTAACTAATCAGCTTCTCTCTTTCATTTTCAGATCTTAACTGAACAGAGAAGCTGATTGGTTGTCATGGGCAACTGCTCCAGATTTTGATAAATTGCCCTCATGTTTTTTTTTTTAAGGTTTAGAGCAGTTCCATGCGCGAATTTGGCCGTACCACTCATGTAGGAATGGAGCCTTACTTGCTAAACACCTCAAAGAGTAAATTAAAAATGTTACTTTTACAAAATAAATTTTTAAGTCATATCAGTATGTGATCAGAAATAACTTCAGAAAAGGCCATTTTAAAAGTGGAGGGTACCCAGCACAAAGAACTCTACACAAAACCAGATTGTCAGCAGCTACAAATATACAATAAAAATCAGGTGCAGTTGATGGGTAAAGCTCTGCTTGTGTACGGCCCGGATAATGAACCTGTTTACAGAAGGAGACAGAACAGACAAGGAAGATTATTATGTCTGGCTGTCCTGAAAGCCTCATTAGAGTGTCTGCAATCCTTCCACCACCTCCAGGTCACACCGCTCCACATCCTAAAACAAATGTGTGAAAAACAGGTCCACATACACCCTGAAAAGCGATCACTGAGGATAATATCTGTGAAGACCAGAAGCGATCATCCATTTTGGACAATCTTAATTCCTATAGAGATGCCATGAAACGGTCTTACAATGAATGGGGAGGGTCAGTACTTGCATAGTAACACTGAATGAGATTTGAGATGAACAATCATTTGGTTATAACTAGAGGTGCACCAAAATAGAAATGTAAAAACCGAAACAAAACCAAAATAAAAAAAAAATTGTCAGAAAATGTCAGACCGAAACAAAAACAAAAAATGTATTTTAATTTTTTCAATATCTTATTTGTGTTTATTTTTTATAAACTTTAAGAGAACACAAAGTCCTTTGTCATCAATAAACAGGAATCCTCTATCATGAGTGTTCCTGTTCATTGATAACATGGACAGAGTATGTTTACCATGTCCACAATCATGAATGAACAGGAGGTGATGTAGATCACTTCCCATTCATAATTGAGGTTATAGTAACCATACTCTGTCCTCAATTATGTACAAACACTCAGCGATCACTCAGTTTGCTCTTGCTCTCCTTCCCGACACGCTGTCAGAGGAGGCTGAGCAAGCGGAGCAGGGAGGAGAGCCCAGCCTCCAGTGACAGCAGGGGCTGTCTCCGTCCCCACACCACTCTGCGATAGGCAACGTGGGAGGAGAGACACCAGCCGGTCACATCACTCCCCTCCCGCAGCGCTCGGCTGTCACTTTCCTCCCCGCTGGGACACAGAGCAGCGCCCAGCGGGGAGGAAAGAAACCAGGGATGTGCCGCTGTATCGGCAGGAAAAATGGCACTTTCGGCCAATATGTTTGGGCGGCCGATATATTGGTGCATCCCTAATTATAACATCTGTAAGGCCAGGTATGTGGCCACTGGATTTTACCATCTCCTTAAATTTCCCCAACAGCTCCATTAACACAAAGGCCTTCCAATGAACTATACATCTTGTATAAACCCATCCACAGGAAGCTGCACAGCTGCCACCACAAACTTCCCAGCCGGTCCACCACCTTGGACTTTCTCTGTGCACACCATTCATACCCATGTAGATCTTTTCTAGCATCCCAAAGAAAAACAGCCTCTTCCATCTGCCTGAATGGGATCAGCTCACTGCACCCACAGAAGAACCCAGGGACTGGCTGGAGAGTTTGCAGCAGAGGTCGTCTGGCTCCCTATGGGTCACACGGCAAGGATCTTAAAGAGTGTGAACAGGAGAGTAAAAGTTCCCCATACACATTACAGTCCGACTGTGTAAAATGAGGACCAGCCTAGACTATACAGGCAATGAGACAACCCTGGGGTGAGGAAGAGGCAAGTTAGGCCCCATTCACATTTGTGAATGAGGCTGATCGCATAAGTCTCATGAATTCCTCTGAGACACTTGTGATCTGCTGCGGGGCAGGAGGCGCTGTACAATACAGTGACAACAGCCATTCGCATGTTGCAATTACACAGGCTGCAATTACCTGGGGATGATCTCACACCTGGACACAAACATCTTGTGAATGAGATTTCAATGTGTATGTGAACCAAAAAACAAAAAGGTTACATATTGCAGTCCTTGGATGTGGTGGCTGCATTAGTTTCTTCCAGGCTTTTTTTTATTTCCGCCAGGTAATCCTGCGAATGACACTTCCTGCCTCTTCATGTCTACACTCATTTCTCCATTGTATCTATACAATGTAGGGACTGCCAAATGTTTCACCTAGGCGATAATGATGTACATCCAGTTCACAACTGCCTGGGATACTCAAGTCCCCCCCGCAGGCTTTGGGGCAATCTACAGCGCATGCGCCACAGCATATCAGGTGAACAGCTGCAAGAACCAGAAGAGACAGCCGGCTCCCCATAAAATAAGAGAAGATGGCGGCTCACAACTGGGTGAGCATTGGATTATTAGCAGAAGGCTGGGTTCACCGAGCATGTTTATTAAAAAGGTAACCCAACAAGATAAAGGGGGTGAATTTCCTCTTTAAGGTCTCACCCCATCAATAAAAAAGGAGAATATACAATCAGTCCAATGTGTGACCAGCGTTTACACCAAGGAGAGGGAATGGGGATGTTTGTTCTCCAATCTATAAACCAAACTTCTCCTATGGACAGCAAGAGAAAAATGTACAGTCAATGTCCCCATACAGGCCACAGACAGACCCCCCCCCCCCCCCCCGCAAAAAAAAAAAAAAAAAAGACAC